GTTCCTAAAATTCTTTGATGTTATAGAGTAATTTGTCTTTAGACTAGTAAAAAATTATAATATCGTCTCCACAAAGGTTAGATACAAATTTTAATTGATACTTTATATTATTTTTGTTGAGTTATAAAAGTTAAAGTTACATGACATTCACTTTCCAATATGTAAAGGACCAATAATAATTTTTAATAACTATATTAAATAAATGTTCCACCGGCAGTGTATAAGATAATCTTGCTTAAATAGATATATGTTTTTGTTTTTACTCAACTACACATAAAGTTAATTTGTTCTCTTAAAGCAATTTAGTTAACTATTTTACTTAGATAAACAACAATCTGAAAAGAATTGCTTGCTTCGCTAGCTGTAAAGTCAAAACTTTTCAAAAACATACGTTATAAACTAATCTTGTTTCAAAATTTCATCAGAGTTATTACAGTATACTTTTATGGGTGATTTTCTTAACAATTTAAATTATTTGAAATATCAATTGCATCAACCTTGCTACTCTAATATTAAGGTTCTTAACTTAAACTTCTGTACAATTAATCATGAAATTTAAACTTGTTAACATAATACAATACAAATATGAAATTGCATATTATTTAGCATGAAGAAAAGTTGGATAAAATTTTTTTAATATATTGTATATGGTTATTTAGCATTAAAAAAAAGCCCTTAATATTATATAAGACTTTCACTCCTTAAACTGAAAATCCTGATTTTGTCCTTGCAATTGGGTATTGTATTGGTATGTACTGTATTTTTTGCTTTGGCTTGGAAGATGTCTGTCCATTTTGTTTGAATAACCTACAGTTGACTGTGAGCTATTTTGGTTGAATAGATTGATTGGATTTTATTCTAGTCAATTTTACATTGATTTAATTAGAATGCTGCCAAACTACTTATTTTTTTCTTATTCTAGTCAATAGACATTGATCTAATTTGAATGCTACCAAACTGCTTATTGTTTTCCTGTTTAACTCTTTATTAATTGTTTTTAGGGCTAATGCACAACAGCCTAAGCTTTTTGTCGGTATGATTCTTATCCTCATTTTTGCGGAAGCACTTGCTCTCTATGGACTCATTGTGGGGATCATCCTTTCATCCCGAGCTGGTCAATCTCGTGCAGAATAAAGAATGCCAAACTTTAAAGCTGTTATTTTTTTAATGTTATTTTATAGGGTTTAAAGCTGGACATGTATAATCAGAAATTGACTGAGAATACGCCGAGGTTTTCCCCCATTTTAGTTCTGTTCGGTTTGATGAACTCTCTGTATATGTTGGGTCTCTGATCAAGATTATGGAACTGTACTGTTTTGCAAAGGGCATAATGCTCTGTGGCGCTGGACTGGATTACCTGAATGTATTATGAGGCAGATTGCACTTTCTCAGATAGATATAACTGTTGAATTTTCAAAAATTCTGGATGGATGTTCTTGCTTCGTTTACTTGCTCCTTGATCCTGATTCCTTGGAACAATTGCTCAATGAACAGGTCTTCTTCCCAGTTGATGGTACCGGTTCCAACATCAAAATGCTCACCGTTGGAATTTTAATTATTGTTTTATTAACAAGATAAAAGGAAGTGTATATTACTACTTGAATTTTAAGGAATCAATCACCATAACTGTTCTTTTATTTATCTGGCCTGAATCTAGGCTTCTAAATTGTTAGGAATTGAAACTGCCATTACCCGTCTTTAAGTGCTTAGATTGGTTTTTGGGCTTCCTTTTGGACGATATGGTAAGCAAAGGCCTCAACTTCCAACTTTGACTTACCTATATAACGGATTGTCTGGTACCTACGCGCCTTGCAGGACCAAACCGGTTAGATCTTTTACAGGGTCCATCCTTGATCCTTCTGACGAGAGGATTGCATAAAAGATCATTAGACTAAACAAGAAGTAATCAAAGTAGAGAGATGGCAACGAGGGGTGCAACAGAAAACTCTCTTGAGGCACCGAAGATCGTGTGGAACGAGACTGAAAGGAGGTTCGAGACAGAAGACAAGAAGGCCTACATAGAGTACGTGTTAAGACAAGAAGGCAAAGTGATGGACATCATCCACACTTTTGTCCCATCTTCGAAGCGGGGCATGGGCTTGGCTTCTCATCTCTGCGTTGCTGCCTTCAATCATGCCAAGTCCCACTCTTTATCCATTATCCCCTCTTGCTCTTATGTCTCCGTTAGTCCTCTTTCTCTCTCCTCGCTCTTTCATTTATAACGTGGGTTTATTTTTGGGTATTTCTAATTCTTAACTTCTTTTGTTTTTTTTTTGTAGAATTTGGTTTCTGGGTTTCTATATTTCTTGTTTGGTTGTCAAAATCTGATGAAACACTGTTTAAGGCTTGTAAAATATTTTAGGAACCCAAAGCTTTTGCTGGCTGTGAGAATGCAAGCCAACGAGAACTAGGCTTAGTAGTACATGATAACCCTCTAAACTGCTAAAGGAATAGTGGTTTTAGAAAGAAAATTTTCAATTTTTAAGATGAGGAATCTGGTTTCCTCATCTTATTTCATACCATTGAGTGATACAAAACATTCACCTTTTCCCCAATCATGTCACACCTAAATGCGTTCTTCCACTTATTGAACAAATTCGACCCTAGGCTTTAACCACCATTATCTAGTTACCCCTTCTTTGCAAACCCATTCCTTTTCTGCATCGCTTTCACTGATCAGCTTTTTCAATAGCATTAATGTGCCTATGCTTGTCTTGACATCAAAAGTAACTTGGAAGTCGAAATTTAGGTGAGCAAGTTGTCTGTAGCAAAATCTCTCTGGGGTTGAAAGATCATGACCCTCTTTCATACTTCATAGCAATATGATGTATACAAATGGTCTAGCGTTTCTTAGACCAAGCGGCTAATTTGTTTATATGCATGAATTGTGATGATAGTATCCTAGGTTTGACTACAGAATCATGGTAGGTTTACTTAAAAAAGTGGTATGTTTCATGACTGTGAGCGCCTGACTTTAACTATGAGTGAAAGCTCTGCTATGTCAAAAGGCAGATCGTAATGTCCTACATTTTCTCTCCTTCAGGACTGGTTAGCTTATATTATGATATATGCATTGTCTTAGAGTAAAATGTTGGTATGCATTTAGTAATAAGAGCTCCCTAGTGTCTACGAAAAAGATGGTATTTCTTGCTTCTGTAAACATTTTTTGTGCTTGTTAGGCTACCTGATGCAGTTCCATTCAGCAATAATTGGTTTTGAAGATTTGAAACTAGTCTTCTTCAAGAGTTTCAACATGCAGATAGTAATTATAGGTGATTATTTACTTGTAAGTTGTTATGAGGTCATCTATCTGCTGTAAATAGCATTTATTTGTATGAATGCATATGCACATACCCCTTCTTCATAAGGAAATGTGAGAAAAATCAGTGTGAAGTTGGAAATTTTCAATTCCTGGGGTAAACAGGCCATTGGATATGCTTGACATCTTGATCAGATTCTTTAGCACTGCAATAATTTGTGATCGTTATACTGAGCAAAATATATTCCTTTGAATTGTTTCAGTCTCATACTTTGTGGTGCTTGGCAATGCCATGCTTTACTATACCGGAGATCATTAGTTCATTTTGCTCTTTTTCAGGACACTTTTCTTCCACGAAACCCGTCTTGGAATACTCTACTGTACTCAGAGGACCTCAAATCCAATATCTAAATAGCTTCAGTAGTTGTTGTGGCTACTAATTGTTGCAGATACTCTACTTTCAGCTGAATAATAATTTGCTGTACTTCTGGCAGATAATATCTTTATAACAATCTGTATCTTTGAAATAGCTTTTGCATATGATAATGATATCCCCCCCTTATTCAAAACATTTAGCTGGTTTTCGACATTTAACGAGGGATGAAGACTGCAACGTACTATATCTGACTCTTACCTTATAGCTAATAACTTCCCTTTCAATAACAAATATAACTTGGTGTATATATTACAAATGGCAGCACTCCACTATAACATGACAGTCTAATTTGCGACAATTACAAATCACATTAGAATAAATTACATTGCATAACATGGATAAATGCCAGAGACAAACAAGAGGGGGCACCCAGATCCCTGCATAATGAATCTATGATCCATGGCATGAACTGAAAACAAATTATAATCCCATGAACACAGATGTATTCATGAAATAAAGGAATACAATCAATGCCAACTACTTGCTTGTAGGATATATGGTATATTTACAGAATTAAATACTCGGTTGCTGGGAGTCTCAGCCAGGCACATAATAATCCATCTTGTCCACCGGCAGATTTAAAACAGATGTTTCCACCTGAACAATGGAAGACAATGATAAAATTATTCATGGCGATAAACACAAATATAGTAGCAATGACAGCTTCTAGCCAATAGATACACAGTCTCTCTTCTCAAATCTTGGTACACACTAGCCATCAATGAACTTAAATGGGAAGTAGAGGGTCTTGCCACAATGAGATAAAACATTTTGCAAATTCTGAATTTTGCAGCAATAATCTATTAATTCATTAAGCAAAAGATCAAAGGGTAATCACATCGTTACCTGTTCGAATGGGACAAAGACAAATGGTGTTAGACCCCTTCTGTGGGACACTGCAGGCACATCTGGGTTGTGAGTTTCATCATCCTGCCACCCTTCGACAACTCCAAGGATGTCCTCTTCAGGACCACTGGCTTCCTTTTCATTCACGCCACTTGTAACAAGTGAAAGTAAATCCATTCGATTGTTAGCCCCTGCTATCGTTCCTCGTAATCTGTATAAGTATGTAGGTAAGAGAAGTGGACAACACTACTAATGGAGGGGATTTAGACAGAGGGAGGGATATTAGGCATCCTATCACTAAATTAGACTGACTAATAAACATAAATGCAAACAAAATGCAGTACGTGCCATCAGACCCCCTATCTAAAAGCAGATAGTCAAATACATTGAACAAGTTTGCATTTATACCAAGGACAATGGTTTTAACTCCACAGCAAAAATTAACTACGAAGTCTCACCCTGAGCTCATAATTGAATGGACTAAAATATAAACAGTAAAATTCTATGCTTCTTATATTACCTTAAACGAATTCTCAGCACAGTAGGACGCATGCCAGGGTACAAGACAGCAGCTTCAACCTACAGAACAGAATGATCATAAAAAACTTTGCATACCGAGCTCCTGATACTAGGATGAAAGCAGGCAATGAATTGAACAGTTAATTTAATACACATTCAATGGAACAGAAAGTGCATTGACACTGTCAAATATAAAATCCCAAACATTATTGTGATGAAGAGAGCCAGACCTTGTCATCTGACAAAGTGTAATGGCCACCAAACACACAGTCTGTTTTAGATGCACGGAAATTCATGCATTTTGCTGCATCCTTTATTTTTTGAGAAGAGTTCTAATCACAAAGAATAGAGATATCAATTAGATTCAGAAACATAGTATCATGTCCACAAGTGAACTATGTCATCTGTAAAATACAACCTTGTATAGAAATCTGCCAGAAGGAAAAAATCTCATATATCGGAAGTAGCAGACCTGCAGGAATATTGATGACAAGACAGAAAGAAAATCAGAATGAGTTCCGAATAGAGAGGAGAAAAGTAAAACATTCTGGGATGAAGTCACAGAAGCATACTATGTGAACTGGATTTGTAACCTTCCACTCGGCAACTCCAGCACGAATATAAGTATTCCTACTCACATAAAGACCTGCAATGTGAAAAGTGATACTAGTCTCATAAAACAATCTTTAGGAACCCAAAGGTTCAAAAAGGAAAAAAACAAACCACTGGTAAGCACAGAAGAAAACCATGCTTGGTCCAAGCCAATCAGTATGTACCACGAACATAACATAAACACTGCAAATGGCAGTTTTTTTCCATGTACATCAGATTCATCATATTTCAGGTTAAAAAATTATGCTGTTTATAACAGTAACTATAGCAGTTAGCTGACATTTACAATGTCAGACATATCCATTATAACAGTGTATATATATATATATATATATATATATATA